GATTGTACAATCGCTCGAAATCGCGCGACGAGGACAACTATGAATCGTCGTCGTCCTCGTCGTCGTTGCAATCATCCGATTGTGAGCAGGAAACGGACGACGACGACGACGACGATACGCGTGATGGTGACGCGACAGCGAAGAAATCGTCGACCGAGACAATCGCGCCGCAACTCGACAGTCACATACCGAGCGTAATTTCCGAATTTGCAGACTCGATCGCAGCGGCGGACGATAATTCCGCACATGTCGACGAGATTGCTCTACGGCGCGATGCGCGTATGCGCAAACGGTTGGTGCGAATCTTTTGCGACACTACCGGCGACAAACTCGACGATCCGATAATCATAGACGAACTGCCAGATACGATGATACGCGATGCTCGAAACTTGCACGTCATGATCGATCCGTTCGAATTGCTGCTGCAACGTTATTGCATTCGCGAGGATTCAACCGTGACTATGCGCGACACTGATGTCTATCGATTTCTGCGGGAATTTGTCGAGGAAACCGGTTACCTCGTGTCTCGAGTGAGCTTTCGCGAGATAGTGATCAAGATCAAAGAGCGCATCAAGACGAATTATCCGAATGCTTTCGACGACAAACGGCGCGTGTTCCTTCTGACATTCGCTCAACGCTAATTTCTTCTTTTTTTTTATGAATGCTCTACTCGCGCGTCTTAACAACGAGGAAGATTTTGCGATGTTTTGTCGCGCGTCGATCGAGAAATCGCAGTGCGATTGGATGTGACAATCGCAAAATAGGGGGGGGAAGTTCAGTAGGAAAGTAGAAGTGAGTGCGATCGGTCCGTTTGGGTATAAAAGCATCGTGCTCGGAACGATGGAACAAACCGGCGATAACGCAATAACGATGGATTTTTCGACGACGATCGATTCGCTAGTGGCCGCGAGTGAACGTCAGCAATCGCGAAACATGCCGTCGTTGTTTCCGAACGAGTCGATTTATCGTCAGCCGAATGATCACATCATCGACGACGAGTTGACCGCTCAACTCATTCGCGAGGGCTACGACGTGAAAAACGCGGTAGAAACGCTAAACATATTGCGCGATCGAAACGTCGGCGCAATGGTCGAGTCTTCCATCGCGTCGTTGTCGACGGTGAGCGGCGGTGCGACGTCAGCGAATACACCGGCTGCTGTCGCGCAGCATTATCGAGCTACTACTACTACTACTAACACCAACGGGTCTAACAACGGCACACAGGATCCAGTGTCGTCTTTGTCGCCGATGAACGTGAGGAAACAACGAACAACCGTCTCGCAGGCGGATGTTCGGGGAGGAGTCAAACTAGCGGTTCCGAATGACACGATCAAAACCCATTCCATCGGACAGAATAACGAGACGTTGCTCGTTTACGATCGACAGCGAACATCTAGCGCTCATCCGGCGAACACGCTGAAACGATTGTCTCGCGATTCGCTTCATGATTTCATCAGGTTTACAAACGCGTACAATGTACTGCCGATCGACGCGCAAACGAATTCGGCAGATCCGCTCAGACGATCACTGACGCCCGACGAAGCGATTCTGTGTTCCGGTCGTACACTCGTGCGACGCAATACGCACGATCAATTTCACATGATATGGCAGGGCGCCGACATCAATCCGGATCGTGCGAAACGAAGATTATTCGCGGTGTTGAGCTCATTCGGCACGTATGGCAATATCGCCGACATCACGGACAAATTGATGATTCGCTTCATCGATTATTGGTACGAATACTCAGACGAGTCGGAGTGCTCGCTCCGGCGCATGAACACGTCCGAATTCTCCAAGATCGTGCAAAATCGCCGGGTGGACGAATCGCTCGGTCGTATGTGTAACATGTGCACCGCTCATTTTTTGCGATTTAATTGCATCAGTAAATTTTGTCCGAAATTGTTTCTCGCATCCACGCAGCAGCAGCAGCAGCAGCAGCACGAAGAGGAGCTTGAGACGGCGCGCGATAACGACAACGAGCCTCGTGACCGGACTGTTCGCGGTGGTGTAAAGAGGCGAAGGATTCATCGGCCGAGCAACGACTGAGGAGTCAAATGACCCGCGCCGAGGAGAAACAAAGGTCCGATTGTAGAGCCGAATCAATCGACAATGGCGACCACGGTTGATCATTACGACGCGAATGTAAAACGGCGCCAACCTCGGCAAACTGGCGTCGGGGTCGGTCGCAAGAGAATAACCAACGCTATCGGCGGCGTCTCGCGAGCGTCGTCGTCACCGCAGCGTACGTCGGCCGCCGAGTCGTCGCGCCAGACCAAAAAATCGCCACCAACGAGAAACAATCACGATCCTCGTTTATCGTCGCGCGAACGTTCGAGCGAACGTTTTGTCAGTGACGACGATGAGGCGGACTACTATTCGGACGAACCGGCCGACTATTCGGATGACAACGACGACTACGAGGAAGAGGAAGAAGACGATGCGTATCGCGACGACAACGAGCAACGTCGAGATCAATGAAAAAAAATAATACTCGACGATAACGAGTGCGATGTTCGATTGATCGCGATTGTACCGAATGTACTTTATTTTATGTTAGTGAACGTCGACCGTACCACCGAGATCGAACACACTATCGAGACAAATCGGAGAGCCGGAACGATCGGCTGTACGTTGCCGCGTCTAGGCACCACACTCGTTACGCGCGATCCGATATGTTTCAATTGGACTTGGACTCGCCCAATCTTGTGTGTTACAATCGAACTTTTGAGGCGGTATTGCGCAACGATGGTCCCTTTATCAGATTGCAAATAACCGATCGAAGGCACAAGCAAGATTGCGTCGAATCGGACGTTTGGTTACGTTGCGAGCATACCGCGCGAGCGTTGTCTTTTCTCGAAAACATTGTAAAATTAGCGTATTTGCACACGCTGGACGCTCCTTGTAACCGATGATGATGAGCTTGTAACAATAATAAACACGTGTATCCTTATCAGAATGGCCCAGTTTCTTTCGCATCTCCCTGCCTACAGATTACGTAACATATTTACGCTCGCTCGAGTGTTTACTACTTTTTTTTTTCCAAAGTGGGTCATCGTCCGTCGCTCGAATGAACGATAATGATCATAGGAAACTTGTAACCAGTTCGCGCAATTTTTACGTAATGTATTTACGCTTGCTCGAGTGTTTACTATTTTTCTCAACGATTAAAAATGTCATCACTCAAGCGAATGATCAAGACAGCGCACTACTCAAGATTATCGCTTTTTTGTCAATCAAAATTTATCTGACTCTCAAAAAAATTGTTTTTCTCGCGCGTGCTATTTACTATTTGTAGCAATGTTCGATAACGAGAGTTGTCTTTGAGCACGCGCTAGACGTAGCCGAAATGTTTATCGGAAATGGTAGATCCACACCACTCTGCGCGCGTTCGTATCATGATAACGAAACGGTATATATCGCGATGGCGAGCGAGAGCTTCATTCACTCTCGTTCAACCATCACGGACTGCACATCGTTGACGCTTGCTCGAGACAATGGCACAATTTGTTTGCACGGTAAGACATACACACACAGCATTATGCGCGATAGTGCGGTATTTTACTGCATAACAATTTGTATATTTGTACCAAATCACCATTTGCATATTTTTCAGATGTACGAAGTCGCCAGTTGCGCAGTAACGTCATCCACGGACGTTTCAGTGTTGCCAGTGAACGAGTATCCACAATATCCAAATTATTGGATATCGCAGCACCGAATCAGTCAACTGATTGGCTACACAGATGAAGATGCTGACGAGCAGCGATACGAGCTAGAGAACGCGCTGTACCTCAATGCCACTGACGAGCGATATGAGCAAGAGAATGCGTCTGAAAGCAACGATGTCGCCGCCGAGTCGGACGAGCGGTATGAGCAGAAGAATGCGTCGGACAACGATGATGTCGTCGCCGAGTCGGACGAATCAGACGAGCAGGAGAACGCGTCGGACATCGTCGCCGAGTCGGACAGCGATGATGTCGTCGCCGAAATCGTCGCCGAGTCGGACGAATCGGACGAGCAGGAGAACGCGTCGGACATCGTCGCCGAGTCGAACAGCGATGATGTCGCCGAAATCGTCGCCAAGTCGGACGAATTGGACGAGCAGGAGAACGATGCTGTTGCCGAGTCGAACGTCGATGTGGTGACCGTTAACGATGAGGATGGCGAGATCATGATGATGAATGCGATTAATAATAACAATATAATAACGATCGATGATGATGACGATGACGATATTGTTATTTTACAACAATCTGTAAATAGAGATATACGTAAACGTACCTATAGTACAATAAATGTAACAATTGACGCTAAGAAAAACATAGAAATAAACACTAGATGCAACAAGAAGCCAAAATTAGAAATGAAGGAGCCGATGGATTTATTGTTCAAATAAAATACGATTGAATGTTATGTTAAAAAATTTATTTATCGAACCCCACATTAAAATTAATGCGCCGCTGTACAAATACGATCTATTGCGAAAATTAGATAACACGAGACATCAGCATCGCCGCGGGCGACGGCACCGCTCGGTCGAACAGAGCCCCGTACGCTCGTTGGTATCCCACTCCGGCGACACCCAGATCAGCCCGAATCAGCATGCTCCACGCCGCACATACGGAGCTCGTCGAGCAATCCGCGAGCCTGCGATACGGTCATCCACAATTCTATGCAAGGTTCGCCGTCGTCGCGAATAACGCTCTGCAGCGTGCGAGCATCGAACGCGTCGTCGTTGCTTGCGCGCTCATCAGGCACACACGTGCGCAATCGCTCGTCGTATCGCGTGCTATCGCCGCACTCGCAAGTGTTCTCCTCGAAATTCGGTGCGATGCTCTCGTCCGCGTGTGGAATCAGCGACGCGCAAGTGTTGCTCAAGAGAAACAATCGATCGAACGGCGCGACAACGTACTCGTTGTCGCGCTCGTCGCGCATACCCGGCGGGCACACGAAACGAAAGCCCGCGTTGTTCGGTAACGGTTCGTCGATCGATTCAAACGCCAGAGTCGAGTCGATATGATCGAGCCAGATTTTGCCGGTGGCGCGATCTAACAGTCGACCGTTGCACACCACGATACGATTGCCACCTTCGCCAGCAAAGGCGCGCGTCTGCGGTATATAACGCCAGCCGACCGAGCCGTACACGGCGATACTGATGTTCTCGTTGCACATCGCCGCGTCCGTCGGCAAACAGTATCTACCTGTGCGCGTAACGCGTCCGTTGAGGAGCGCACCCAATCGATCGTAATATCGATACTCGACACCGTCGGTCGCCCCGCAGTAAGAACGACAGTCGACGTAATCGTCGTCCGCGAAGACGAACACACCGTGCGTCAGACACTCGTTTCGTCGCACCGCGAGATCTCGCTCGTTGTCGATTTCGCGCGCCGCATTGTCGTTGATTTCTCGACGATGACGACGACGCGACAATCGCGGCGGACGATTGCCAACGAATCGCACTCGCGGCAACAAATCGATTCCAACGTCCATCGCGCGGCGCAATCTCAACGCGCGATCGCGTCGACCGTTGTTTCGAGATGAGTCGTCCACGGCGATTGATTCGCCATCGTCGTCGTACCATGCTTGAGATCGCGCGAGATCGCGTCGATTCGAGGGCGACGAAACGCATCGAGGTACAGACCGCGAATCGCGCAAAACATCAAAACTATGCACGCGACCGCCAGGACCAATCGAGCGATCGATAGACCGCGCGACGAATCCGTACCGCCGTACGGCAAGGCGTCGCAGCGGCGATCTCGTCGCTGTTCGTTCCACTTCGAGTCGTCGGCCGGCTCGTACATACGAGCCACCCTGTAGTAGAAATTTGAATCTTAGTTATTGGTTTTATGGTTACTGAGATATATCGAATTTCCTCTGATTGGTAAAAATTTTGAGTGGCTATAACTTTTAAACTATTGATTTTACAAGACTTCCCTCAATACAAAATTTGTAGCATTTTAAAAATCCCTTCGATTGCATTAATCGATTTGGTCAAATTGTTATAGTCTTAAAAAATATACGCTTTCATTCTTAATTTCGCTCGTGAATAAACATTTTGGATGATTAAAATTAATCATGTTTCTTGTTAGCTTTCGGGTTTAAGGCGAAAAATTATAATGGAAGAGAGCACGTCGCGGGACGTTACAGCAGAAGCCATAGGTCCTCTTGGTGCCGTACATCAGCTTCCTAATTCCGACCTCGTTTCTTCTCCTCTTTTACACACTCCGGATACGCAATCGGGCGAACGCTTAGGCACATCACCCGGCTGCGGTGCCGATGATGTTTTAGAACATCACACGGCCTCAGGTCCTCTTAAACGCACACATACACCGGATACCACGGAAAGGTTGTACTCAGGTATTGACACGATCCGCGGTGCTGACGCCTCTTGCGAACAGGCGAATACTACAGGTCCTCTAGAACACACATCTTCAGAAGCTAAACACTTCAAATTTCGTTCTAATTACGTGAATCAAATAGACACAACGGATACACAGTCAGAACCTTGCTTAGGAACGGTAAATGTCTGTAGTACCAGCGATACCTTAGGGCGTCCCTCGATCTCTGGTCTTCTGTCTCATGCACACCGCTCAATTCCAATTCCTGTAATAATTATTCTCACTGTTTATCGGACATACATACGCGACTAGTAACTTAGGTACAATCGTTTGCGATGCTGTTGATGCACTAGAGTCTGATACAGCCGCTGGTCCTCTTTCATCTCGCAACGCACGAATTCTACAATTACTACGTCCCTCTCATCTCAATCGCGAAGGAGCACGGAATATTGAAAAACTAGTATTAAACCACGCTGATAAGTTCCATATTCCCGGCGAAACCTTAGGGATCACCAACGCCGCGCATCATTACATAGTTACAACAGATAATGCTCCGGTTCATGTAAAACAATACAGATTCCCTCCCGTCCACAAAGAAGAGGTATACAAGCAAGTAACCGATTTACAAAAGAATAACATTATCGAACATTCTACTTCTCCTTATAACTCTCCCTTATGGATAGTTCCTAAGAAACCAGATTCGAATGGAATAAACGATGGTGCATGGTAATAGACTATCGCCTGTTAAATGAAAAAACGCTTATCCTCTTCCGAATATTACTGATATTTTAGATCAACTTGGTAGTGCAAAATACTTCTCTGTTCTTGATTTAGCGTCAGGTTTCCACCAAATCCCTATGTCTTCTGAAGACGCTCCCAAAACCGCCTTCTCTACTCCTTACGGGCATTATCAATTTAAGAGAATGCCATTCGGTCTCAAGAATGCGCCCGCAACCTTCCTATGGCTGATGGACAATGTACTATCAGGCCTTCAAGGCAACGAATTATTTGTCGATATGGACGACATTGTTATTTATGCTAATTCTTTGCATGAACACGAAATCAAATTCAATAAACTAATGAGTAGATTACGAAAAGCAAATTTGAAATTACAACCTGACAAATGCGAATTTTTACGCCGAGAGGTAGCATACATAGGCCATATAATAGGATCCGACGGCGTTCGACCGGATCCGGAAAAGATAAAATCTATAAAAGAATTCCCTCCGCGCACTCAGAAGCAAATTAAGCAATTTCTCGGATTGGCCGGATACTATCGACGATTTATACCTGATTTCTCGAAAACCGCCAAACCTTTAACGGACTTACTGAAGAAAGATAGAGAATATATATGGCATTCAAACCAACAGCACGCGTTCAACATCCTTCGAGAATCCTTGTGCTCGCATCCTATACTCCAATATCCAGATTTTACGAAACCTTTCAATCTTACAACTGACGCTTCTGGCTATGCCATCGGAGGCGTTCTCAGTCAAGGTCCTATCGGACGAGATCTTCCTATTGCTTACACTTCGCGCGTTTTAAACCCTGCGGAACAAAATTATTCTACTATTGAAAAGGAATGTTTAGCCATCGTACACTGTGTTCAATATTTCAGACCCTATTTGTATGGGCAAAAATGTAAAATAGTCACTGATCATAAACCACTCATGTGGCTCCAGTCGATAAAAGATCCTTCATCTAGACTATGGAAGTGGAAAACGAAACTCGCCGAATATCAATACGAAATACAGTACAAAAAAGGGACTTTGAACAGCAATGCTGATGCCCTTTCACGAAATCTTATTATTACCACTCTACCCTTGAATTTTAACAACGAAGACTCCAACGAATCACCTTTCACATTTCCTCCTGAGCAACGAACCCTTAATACTAATGAAAATATATATCCTTCATCATCTCGAGACACACCTGACCCTGCCCCAGTTATAGAACCACCCAGGATACATACTCCCGTTACACTACAAAATACCCACGTCGTACCAGAAATTGACACTGACAACGAATCTTTATTATCGGACCATTTGGACGACACTAGCTCCGACTCTAGCGAAGAAATATTTGATGCCCTCTCCATACCCGCCGAAATAGGCGACGTCATAAGAAATCCTTCCTTATTAAAAGTTGAACTCAGTCGAGATTCCCTGATGTCACAAAAGGACAATCACGTAGTATTTATAAAAGGTGACGGTACACCTACTGATAATGGCTCAAACGAATACGCAGAAACAAATAAAATACCGAGTTATATCGATATTATCCTCGAAAGAGCTAAAGTGAGCTTTATAGGAAGAAATGTTCTCATATCCTTGCCAGTAAAGCTAGATGACAGAATGATGATAGAGCACGAGAACATAAAAAATTGTATTAAATCTCTTGTAGATGTTGTGAACGAAATGCAACTAAAATCCTTTTCTATCAGACGAACACACTATTTAGACGTGACCCCTTGGAATTATGTACAACGGCAAATTTTGAAACACTTTGAAGATACATCCTTGCGAATCACCATATGCGAAGGAGCAATACGGACATCGAAGTTAGAAGATAGAGAAAATTTAATTCTGGAAAATCACGCGTGTGCTTTCTCCTCCTACATCTTGACAACGTTGACAGACAGTGGCATAAATAATCAATATAATTATTTTACAATAGAGGCTCTGAAAAGACGTCTCTTTCATTTGGGCTCTCTCTCTCTCTCTCTCTCTCTCTCTCTCCTCACCATACACTAGTTATAAGACATTTATATACTTCTCTTATATTTCGCATTTACGTACTCAATTTTATGCATCCATTGTCTCCATTTGGACCCGCACATTATATACATTTTCGATTTACTATATTTTCAAATTAATATTTTGCCTTAAAGAATATATTATACTATCAGATTAAGCTTTCAAGGTTTTATTCTAACAACCATTTCAATAAGTTTTTTCAATCAATTTATAATTATTACACTAATCTTTAAATACTATTATATATATACATATATATATATTCAAATCATATTGTAATTCATTAAGACAATTTCATTAAG